TCATCAGGAGAATATGAATAAGAGAGACACATGTGATTATAAGCCAGGATATCAGAACCAGGAGGCCACAGAGCTGAGGGTTCATGATGTGTATGTATTTCAAGGGGTGGCAGATTGCTACAAAGCGGTCATAGGCCATCACAGTCAGTAGGAAATTATCCATTCCTGAAAAAATTATAAAAAAGTATACCTGAGTGAGGCATTCCATGTAGGAGATGTCTTTATTCTGTTTCTGGATATTCATCAGCATTTTGGGGACTGTGGTGGAAATGAAGCCAAGGTCCACAAAGGACAGATTACAGAGAAAGAAGTACATGGGGGTGTGGAGGTGAGAGTCCCAGGCAGTAACCAAGATGATGAGCATGTTCCCGAGCACTGTTACCAGGTACATGGACAGGAAGAGTCCAAAGAGAATGGGCTGGACTTTTGGATCCTCTGAGAGGCCCAGTAGGAGGAACTGTGATAGTCCTGTGTGGTTCACTGCATGCATGACCCTGTTTGATCTGTAGGAGAAGGAAGAAATGGCAGTGTTCAATCAATAACCATTGGCTCTTCAGGTGGTTACCACCTCATAATATCTCTCCATGGACACTTTTCAATCACACTATGTCACTCAGTGGTAGTAGTTCATTTAGCTGAATGGCAGCTCATTCCCTTTTTAAATGTGAACATTACTTCATACTTACTTTAATGTATCAGATATTTCTTCTGTCTTTACATCATTGAATCACTTGTTTTATTTTATTTTTATTATTTATTAATTTTTTTGGTTCTGGGGATTGAACTCAGGACTGTGTGCTTTCACAGCAGGTAGTGGCACCACTGAGCTAAATCCCCAGGTCCAATTTTTTTATTTTTGATTTTTAATTCATGACTGACTAAAATTTTGTTTTATATCAGTTTTCAAAAACAACTGTGAACTCAAAAAAAAAACTGCGAACTTTTCATTTATTTTCTATGATAATATCTATATTTCTTTATTTTGCTACTTTTATAATACTGATTCAACAGTAATTCTTACACAAAGTTTTATTGTACAATTTGACAAGTCATTGGGCTATGACAGTTCATTCTCAATGCTACATTTTTTCCTCAGAGTTATTAGTGATGCACTATAAAACTTCAAAACATGCATTAAATGACAGCTACCATTATTTATATTCAAGTCTCTATTTTCCTTATTATTATATTATTTGAGACACATAATTTTCCCAAAGTACATTGAAGGGCTGTGATTCAAATGTTGTTTCTTGGGCCAGGAATTTGGCTCAGTGGTGCTGCTGCCTGCCTTGAAAGCAGAAGGACCCAAGTTTGATCCCCAGTACCAAAAAAAAAAAAAAATTAAATGTTGTTTCTTGAGTACATTATGAAATACAATCCTATCCAACCAACAGAATATCTTTATTACCCTGAAAAATAATTTAAGCTCTATTAAATGTAAACACCTCCTGTCTTCAGTAGGAACAGTACACGCTTACCACAAGGTAAGATTAGAGCAAAATTAAACAAAACGATTTTTCCTTTGGTTCTTCTCTTAAAATAAGAATCATGTAAATGTTAATTTTGTTCTGCATATATCAGTAAATGTATCATAGATGGCTCTCACTTATCAATATATCTTTAAACTGTACCAGTCACTATTGGGAGGAATTTGTATCATTATAAATATAATTGATTTCTTACCTCTTTTCACATACCTCGCAGCCCTTTCAAATTGTGAATATAGCTTATTTTTCCCAGAAGGCCAACCAGGTGAGTATCTCCTATTAGAGGAAAAAGCATGTGTACTACGTAGAGAAAAGGAGGAAAGAAAGCAACCATCATTAAAATAATATGCTACACTTATGTGCTTGTGTAATCTCACGTGTCTATTTTCTTAAATCAGCAAAGTTAATGGCCAGAATATAGATTGATGGACTTGATTAAAATATTCAAAAGTTATATGAATGGAATTATTATATAAGCATTTATTATAAAATACAGTCTTGCAAAAATAACAACCTTCATGAAAGAAAGCATCAGTGTAATGAATACCTCGTGGTTTAAAATTAAGAGAAGAGAAAACATACTGTGGATCAAGTTCGTCCAAGAAGTTGGGTGGCTGTGTCTTCAATGAAATACAAGGAATCGAGCTGCCAATCATAAGAGCTGAGGAAGGAAGGGACACATAAAACAGAACAGAGTGTGTGGCTTTACCATCAAGTGATGACCCATGGTTGTAACAGCTTCTCCTCAAGATCTATCCGTGCTTGTCACCGTGTAGGTTCTGAAAAAGTGCATATGTTTGATTTATTTAAAATATGAAGATTAAAATGGCTAACAAAACACTATATGAAATCTTTCACTTGTCACAAGCCTTAACATAAATCCTAAACTTAATAGTGGAATTAAATAAAAGCCATTAATACTTATTTTAGAAGGATAAAGCAATTAATGGGAACAGAGCTTTTAAGAAGGGAGGGCAGAGGTAAGGGGAAAAAATGAGAATCAAGACTTGCCATGTAAAGGTACATGATCCCAACTGAATGTAACTTAAGAAGGGAGGGCAGAGGTAAGGGGAAAAAATGAGAATCAAGACTTGCCATGTAAAGGTACATGATCCCAACAATGAATGTAACTGTACTGTATCCCTAAAATGTACCAATAAACTCAATAAAATTAAAAAAAAAGAAGGGATGCCTGTTCAACATAAGATATTGCTTATTATAGTTCATCACAATAATAAGCCAACACATGTAGACCCTAGCCACAATTATAACAGAAGTATATGAGTAAGAAAATTTAACAGGTATTACCTGCTTAGCATCCAGTGTGAAGTATATAAGCAAATAATGAAACCAAAGATGTTTTTCTAACTCTCTGTTTGTGTTCAAACCATAATAAATAAAACATTACTTTAAAACATTTCAATATTTGTGTTAAATTGTAGTATTTTATTAAATATGAAAAAAATTATGTCCTATAGATGCAGTTGTGGATACTAAAGTGAAATCTTAGTTATACATATCTGGAAGAACATGACTATCAGAAAGTAGAATTCCTATAAAAATAGGAATATAACAAGAAAGAACACCATTTAAATTAGAATATAGTTTAGATCGTATATATAAAAGGATTTTGAGTATGTAGTTCATAAGTAAAATACTGGATGCACTTTGAGATCATGATGTTGGATATAACAAATCATTACCCCAAGCTTAAATGTCACATTGTTACTATATAACAAATTCAAAGTAGAAATGAATGAAAGAACAAAATAAAAGAGAAATGATTGGAAACAGGGAGACAGGCCTTTGCAAGAAGGAAGATGACCAAGAGTTGGAGGAAAGGGAGGAGTGGGGTGAAAGAGAATTAAGATATAGTAAGTACATATGACTAT